ACATGAATCTCATTCACAATGAAATTGGGAGTAACACAAAACAGAACTTCTACACTATACTGCAACAATAGTTCTTTAGGTTTAAAAAACTTTTTTTCATCCGAACTATCACAAAATTCGCAGTTTACCATATATTTTTTTTTTGGCAAACAACTATATAAACTACTATTTTTTTTTTTTTTTCAGTTTGTCCTCCAAAACCATATTTAAAAAGGTTTTGTAACAAAAAAACTGATTTACAAAGGCTTTTGGGAATAACTAATTTTTAAATTATCGCAAAAATACCGGATGACCAAGTTATAATTTTTGGACATTCCAAATATAACAAATTAACCATTGTAAAATTCTCAACTACTAACCCATTTTTTAGGGGTTTCATGTATTAAAAAAAAATTAAAAAGTACATTAAACCTTGTGTGAAGTTCATATGCATATACGTGTGCATCTATTTTTATGTAATTCTCGAGTATTTCCCTCCCTGGGAGCATCGAAATTTCAGATCTTCCAGATATGCCACCACCCCCAGAGACAACACGAAGGTGGAGGGCTATCGTCGCCGGATCCAGATGTCAGCGGTGTGCGCGACCCGCATATTCCACCGACACGGGAGATCGACCACATATCTGATGGTGAGCCCAGTCGCTGGTTGCTCGAGCAAGTCGTGCCAGCCATCAAGGAGGCCCAGAAACTTGCCTGCCATCGCTGTTTCGATGAACGACGCGGTGAACATATCGAAAACTTTCTCCGTCGTTGTCTCGTTGACGACGCGTCGAGCTTCACCCATTGTCGCGCCGATTCCAGTTTTTGCCGACGACACTTTCTTCATGATCCTCCCCTCCGGCGGAACCTCAATCGCGGGCCTGTCGAGCCACCCATCATTCTGACCATATCGGTTACATAAGGCATGCCTGTCATTCTCTATTTTTCTTTTATTTCTTTATTTAATTTTTTGAAATGTACAAAATTTTTGAAATATCGTAAAAATCATTTTTTTAAGCCACTTTATATCCGGCTTAGGGGGCGAAATAAAAAAAATACAAAGTCGTATTACTATTTCTTTAAAAAAAAAAGTTAATATGGCAAGCTGCGAAATTTCATGATATTTCAGATGACAAAATGTTTTTAAACCTAGTTTTTCTACACTACTTAATTTAAAATCTAACTCAAATTTAATCTAACCTAACTCTACTTATTATTACTAAATTAAATATAATATCAATCGATAATCATTACAAATTAAAAATTTAATTCAGTATTTATCCATTGAAAAATATTTTATCTATGATTTATTTTCAGTAACGTCTCTCATTCTTTTATATATCAAAACTAGAAAGTTACCGGCTGTGCTAAGCACAGCCGGCCCATACAATTTAAATTTTTTTTTCTTTTATTTTGTTTGAATATTAATTTTTAATTGTATAATATTAAAAGTATTTATTTAATTAAATAATGTTGTTTTTTTGTTATTTTAATTTTTCTTGTTTATTTGAGTTTTCTTTAATAATAAATTTTTGGTTTCATGAGAGATAGTTTTTTAAAATAAAAAAATTGTTCAAATATAGAATTACTTTTTATAGAATAGGAAAATAGAATTTTATTAACATTAAAAAATAATAGTTTCAAATATAATTATTATTTTGTTAATAATTATTATTTGATTAACAGAAATGATATTATTTTTAACTTTCAATATAAAATTTTAATGATTTATATATGTAAGAAATAGAAATTTTAATTTTCTTTTTTTGTTATGAAGTTTTGTTATGTAAATAAATTATGTTATGCAGGTAGACAATAGTAAGTTAATGTAAAAAAAAATGTGTTTTGAACCAAATGATTTAAATTAACTTATTTTTTGTTAAATTTGTAGTCCACTTTCTCAACTAATATTATTATTAATATTTACTCTTCAGTTTTTATTAATTTTGTAATTCCAATTTTTTAGACATTCGAGTTTATATTAAGCACATATTTTAAAATATATTACAATAAATATCTACTTTTAGTAACCACATACCAGCGACTACATTTATTAAATCCTAAAATAAATTACTTGGTTGCATTGCTTTTCAAGAATAACTCACCAACTTTAGATAAAGAAAAATAGAGAACAAAAATACAAAAATATGCAAGAAGGTCGCATTTAGAAGTCGTCTAGATCATATTTTTCCTATTCTAGCAAAAAAAATGCAAATAGACTAATAGCTAAAACTCCAAACCAACCCAACCACCAAACTCAATCACCCTCATAATAGTAGAACGTTTACAGGACTTTAAAACAAGAGTGAGTATCCGAAGAAAGGTACATGATATAATGTCTATGGACAAAATGGTAACATTTGTTAAATCCAACCTCCAGTTACAATCAAAGTTATAGCTCCATCATAGTAATCAGTCCAGTGACCTTGTCTGTCATATTACAACACACAGATTAACTACCAATACTCAATTCTTTTTCCTCCCAAATTTCAAAACAATGGACCACACAAAATCCACAAAACAACTTATAAGTTTAAAAAAAAAAATTGAGTAGAACATTTAAGAAGATGGACCAAATTTAGTCCAGAAACACATCCATAAAAGTTGAGAATACAAAAGCTAATCCTACAATACTATAGTATATCAATAGGTTTGGGGAAGATGGGCAGAGAGAACGGAGCTGGTCATCAACACCATATCTAGTCCCCTCCTTCCATCCATGCTCCTTCATCAGATGAGTGCATATGTAAGAAAACAATCATACATGTCAAGGCCGGAAAACCCATCCAACAATTTAATTTTAGAGAGCATGAAATTGAAAACAGAACCCAAAACGGAACTGAAAGACAACCTGAAAGCCTATATATAGCCACCAAAAAATCATAATTTTATAAAATGAAAAATGAGTTTTTATAACTTATCTGAGCGAAAGTTTGCATCTTCCTGTTGGATAAGTAACAACCATCCTCAGATACAACACGTGAAAGACGACCCCGAAATCGAATGAAGCCATAAAAAAAAAAAAAACAGTTTAAGCTGATCGCGAACTTATATGGGTCCATGAAGGTGCTGATTGTTTTAGCTGGAGTTACCTCCCAGGTTTTAGCAGTATTCCCCGAAAGCAAAATTTGGTAAATGGTACTACACAAGAACATAAATGGAGTACTAAACATTCTCTATTCTTCTCGACCCAAAGATCTTCTTGTGATATATCTACCACTTCAGGTTCTTACAATATTAAACTATAAAATGTAGTTAAATTTATAATAGTCACAAAGGATTACGAACAAGAGCTTATCCAAAAATTCATCAGATAGCAAACAAATGGTGATGTTTGCCTGAACACGATCATTTATTCATGTCAATCGTACATCATCCATGTGGCTATGAAGTGCATTACCAAAAATTTAACCCAAAAATTATATTGTTGAGTTTCAGACATAATTAATGAAAAATAAAAAGGTTGCAGGAGCAAGAATGGTTACCAAGATCCACAAAGAAAAACAAATTGCATTACAATGCACATGTAGTTAATGATCATCAAGGATCACACCAACACTTCTAAAAAGGTGCAGCTACCGCGCACACTTGACCACAAGAAGGATTACATCTCAAGGCTTTCTGACATACCTTTCTGATAGTGGATTTTGTGTCCATAAATCTCCAAGCTTTCGATGACTTATCTTGAGAGACATAGTTGACGAACTTCTGACCCTTACTCTGCAGGCATTAAATAGAAATTAGAACAAACCCGTCAATACCATTTAAACAGAGACAGTTAAAATAAAAAATGTCACACTTTAATACTTCAAATAAATAAAAAAATTATGCAAATTGAAAAAAATTATTGAAAATTGAACCCATTAAATAGCTGAAGGTTCAACAACCATCGCCCAAGTGAACATAGTCGGAAAATGAAGTAATGATACTATAGACCAATAAAGAAAAATCTTGCAGTACCACATGTAGGTATAAAATTCTACAAATTAGTTATCAGGTAAAGCTGTAATAAATTATCCATAACTCACTATCAAATACCATCATAGTTTAATTTGTTTTGGCTTTAGTAGACTTCTTTTAGGCGACCTCTTGGGCATTGAGTTCTTCATGCCGATGAAGAACAGCAGGCCCCCCAGCAATGACAAATTCTAGTCCAAAAATCAAAATAAGTACGGTCAACTCACATAAATATATAGAGTCCACTAATTAATATATATATATATATAAGAGCTGGAATATGGGAATCTCATTTCCAGTCATTATTTTCCATTTTTACACCTAAAATTCAGAATCACATTTGTGTTTTTTTATTACCGACCACTCGTACATTACCAAACACATTAAACTTGCTTCGAAAATCCTATAACTTTAAAAAGAAAAGAAAAATTGAAAAACCAGGAATATATATTTTGGATTGAATAAGCACCTGCGTGAATTACAAAAAGCTGAGCACTCTTTCTTGTTAGCATCGTAATTATAGAAATCATATAAGATGGGCGCCGAGATCGCTTGATGCAGAAGCTGGGTAATGATCGGGCAAACAACGAACCCATGAGTAACAATTATAGAAATCACAAAATCAGTATATAAACAAAAGAGTGGGTTTCATACACGTACCAATATTGAAGCTCCACTAAAGCTGCCAAAGACAAACATGAGGCTTCCAAAAGCTTTCACGGAAATGGCGCCCAAAATCAAAACTTTCATCTATGGTGTAATATTTTACACATTATTGAGAGTGAGACAATATGGCATGTATATCATGTAATCTTATATTAATAATGGAAATAAAAAATAGTCTGCTTACATCAACATGAGGCACTTGTAGTCCAGTATGCTCTAGACACTGAATTTATGCCTCAAATGCTTTGCTGGTGGCCCGCCATCAGCTCCAAATTCATTGAACCTACTAACACAAGCATTTCATGATAAATAAAAAGTGTTTCAAATATTCTAAGCTACTAATCATCCTAACATGATAGTGAATAGCATTTGTTATCCTCTAAGTCTTCGAAATTGCACGAGATTAGTCCATCCAATGCAAGATGAAGTTAAAAGTTGGGTGAGATAAAATAACCAACAGGCTGTTGAATGATGGAAGAATAAATTAAATTGGTTAAAACGCACATTTGATATATTTCCAAATCACTATATAGCAAAAACGCATTATCAAAACCCCATCAATCCATGCAAACTAAATTCACTTCTAAAAAAAATTTAGCCATTACTATATTAAAAATACCAACAAGTGCAACATTTGACGAACAATAGGTGCACCAACAATGTCTCGAAGATACTGAGAGATGAATTAGGGATACTGAGGGACAAATTAAGGCTTTCTAGGATATATAAAATCCAGCTAACTTCACACACACACACACAAACTCACGCACAGACTCGAGCACACACACTCGAGCACACACAGTAGAAAAAAGGCAAACACCAAGGGAAAAAAATAACATAAAAGCTAAAGAATTACCTCGTTAAGTGGGTGTTATAGGAGCAAACCTGACCTGGACAACATCGATCTATGAAATATTTAAAAATAATGATTTGTAAAAATCACGTTAGTTGTAGGAAATAATCGTCATGCAGGCCCTCGAGTAGTCCAGGCACTCGGACAGGCCTTCGGACAGCCGTGTAGGGCAAAGCTTGTTCAAGGAGCCAAGAATTCAGTATAAATAGGAAAGAGGCTTGCGTGAGTGCGGAAATTCTGGCGGGAGAGAAAAGACTGTCATATATAAATGACAAAAATATAATGTGAGGGTAATTTAGGAAAAAAAAATGCAAAGAAGCATGTTGGAAAACATCCCCTAACCGACGTCGTTTTGAACGAAATGGAGACTTCTAAGAGGTGCCACCAAGGCAGGTGCTGCAGAAAACACAAATTTTAAACGGGAGTATTAAAGAAGCAATTAAATGAGAGGAAAAAAAAAAGAGAAAAGAATGACATTTATTTATAAGGAGAGAATGATAACTCTTTACCACACCAACCCTATGGTTTCAAATAGCTGCAGCTTGATGCCGACTCAGTCGATTGATGCCCCACTGCCTGTGGTCTGGTCACTGATGCGAGATTTCCCCAAACCTACAAGCGCTTCTTGTGGAGATGCTATCTATCGCATGGCTCAGCTGGGCCCGTAGTGTGCATGAAGTGATGGTGACAATAGGGTTGCCGGCCCACAGGAGCATCGAGTTGTTGGAGACGCTCGACGATGATCGGCCTGTGATTGTTATGTGTATTCAGTCCATCAGAAGATAAAATAATTTAAACTAAACAAAAAAAAAAATGTGAAGAAACACTTGGCCTGAAATTGTAGTCTGCCACCAAACTGCTCTCAGCTCTCTCCTCGAAATGAACGACCATGATTTAAAGAGAGGGAGTTGGGATAAAAAATAAGGTAATTAAAATAATAAGAATGAAGGTAAGATCTTATTAAGAGTAACTTAAGATAATGATCAAATTTAGAAAGTAAAAAGATAAGAGATTGAAAAAGAGAATATATCTCTCTCAAGTGCCATTGCAAAGAATAATCTACTAAGAAAAATTTGTCATACCACATCCATAAGATCACGTATTTCTGTATCCTTTAAAGTAGATCCATATTTTCTTAAACCATCTTTGAGTTCATCAAATGTGATTGCTCCACTGTTATCAGTATCCATAGTTGTAAACATCTCTCTTAAGCCTGCAATTTCCTCTTCAGACAAGCCTTCAGCTATTACCTAGACAAAAACGAATAAGAGCACCAAAAATTTTACTTCTCTAAAGTACTTCTTAAAATAAGGAATATAGCATACAAGGTTATATAAAACAGTGTAGTGGATGAAAACAGACGAATAAGCTTATAGAATATAAACTCATCACATGCTAAACACGAGGTTACATACCCGTAAAGCCATTTTCTTTAACTTATTCATTGCGGAAAATTGTTTGAGACGAGAAAGAACAGCTGGATCTAGGGCTCTGTCAGGCGCAACACCATGTTCATATATCCATGGATGACCTATAACAGATGAAAAAACTGAGATAAAATCCTATCCTCAGTAAAAATAATTTTCGAAACATTAACTGGAGCAAAGTACACTTCTTTTTTTTTTTTAAAGAGAGTAATATGTAAGAGCAAAAAGATCCAAACACGACAATTTATATCGCAAAATATAAAGCGAAGACCTTTATCAACCCCAACATAATCATGGCAAATGCTCACCATTTAACAACCAAGACACATGAGGTCAGGAGGTAAATATGAAGACAATGAGCTGCGTATGGTCAGTTGTTCAAACCCCAAAATCAACGAAGTTCGTGTTCACATAGAAACACAGATGATCAGTTAAACTCTCAAATAATCAAGGAATAAGGCTTAGATGAACAAATTCATCTACAAATCTAACTACCAAGAAAATTTCTTTCTACTTAATCAA